AAAAACTACTCAATTCATCAAATAGTCATTTGAATGACAGGGAAAAATTAGAGGAGAACTACAATGAAAGAAACCATAGTAACAGAGAAACCATTAAAAAAATAGAGATAATTTGGATCTCCTAAATTAGCCAAAACTTAAGCACACTATTTTAATAACATCAATAGTTAAGGGTACCGTTATATGTTAACTAAGGAAAGTCGAGCAACAACAGGTAAATGAAATATACTAACTTTAAGTTTTGAATAGCCCAGTCGCCACACCAAGAACATTAGCATAGCCCTATGGGCATGCAAGTTTTTTTTTTAATTGAAATGCATAAATCAGCAAAATCTGAATAGAGGAAGATGAAATATTATGGAATACGGGAAAAGATAACGAACAAAGAGCAAGAAAATGGCCAATATATGTATACTCAGATGCAACGTTAAAACCACTTTGTATTAAGTATTGTGAAAAGGCTGACATATTCTCGGATAACATTTTAAAGAAAGTGAAATTGTACCTCTGAGTACCCAAGAAAGGCTGCTCCAGAAGGATTGACCAACCAAAAAATAAAGCACGAACTGAAACAGAGAAGAGAAAGAAAGATATTAAACAATATATTAAAAGAGTCATATTACTCTGTACAACGTTTCCATCAAGTTCTATTTACTCTGTCATAATAATGTTGTCGTAACAACAAAATACGTATCTTTAATGGGACATATCCATGGGGACTTTAATTTAGTAGCCATATTAGTTATTACTTAGTTGTTGAAGAAATAGAAGATATCATTATTTACGGAGAAAAAGTTGAGAAAGGAAATTTATGATTTAGCACAAATGCACAACTCAGGCAGATCAACAAGTGGAGCAGCTATCCACAAGAGTACTCTTGTGGGATGTTAGCTGGTTCATTGAAGCCGGCATAGAGGTGGATACCACTAAATATGACATTTTTCTTGCATTTTGATAACTCGACTTACCTCCCAAAGAGAGCTTTAGCGGCACATACATTACATGGTGACATAAAATGGTTATTTAAGTGATTTGTCAGCATATAAAAAATCAAGGAGAATAGATATCTCATCAGGCATTTCAAAATTTTATGAGACCAAAAAGGAAGCCAAAATTTAATCAGGAAACTTATGCAGCCAAAAAATATCTCGACTCCTTTACTTGCATATTCCTCACTATTTAACTTCAAATTTTTATTCTTTGTTGTTCTTCACCCATTACTTTGTTGAGCACTAACAATTATTTTATAACTGTACACGTATATTTTGGTGAAAAACTACTAAGAAGAAAGCTAAGGAGAAGAGTAGATACAACAGAAAAAATGTGCGCATCACAATTTGTCAATGTGTAAATAGTATAAAATGTAAATAATTCTCCCATATATGATATTAAGAATATGACACACATGCATCTAATAATATGATACTGTTACGTACGTAAATAATGTATTATTTGCCAACCAGTCAAGAGTGGGTATTTTGTTCCAAATAAATAATACCTTGCTATTAACATATGATGTTGTGTACCTACTTTTGAAGTCAATGCTAATAGCACCTACAGTACAGTGCTATACTAGTTTATCCGCTTTTATCTCAATTTTTTTAGACTGATAATATTTATCCACTATTATTTCTACTTGTGCCATCCGTACAAAAAGTTCGAAATCTTAGCTCATAGAATTTTTATTAAGCCTTCTAGTTAAAGTTCTATAAGCAGTCGCCATACCAGAAGGACCTGATAGCTTCATAGTTGGGTCTAAAATAGCATAGAAAGGGGCGGGCTTGCAAAGTAATTTGAACTGCACCATACATTCTATAATATTGATCTTATTAGTAGATTTGTAATCAAGAATACTAACCTCGTGTCGATGCGACATATTCCGAGTAGAGGAATATCCAGAAAGCAGTCGTAACAGTGAGCTTAACCGTATTCAAAAGCAACAGCAAGTTGTGGCTTTACTTGCATCCCAAAATAGTAGCAAAAGATGTTTCACTGGCAAAAATGCTAACAAACGATAGTCGTTTAAGGTGTTTGTTTTTTCTACAAAGTTGAATCTCATATTAAATTTAGAAGGAACAGAAATTACAAATACCTCTCAGCAATTTTTCGTAGGGGAAATTTTCATTTCCGCCTAACATTTGTAGGAACCGTTGCCTTTGGCTGTTATGTGTGGGTGCTCTTGCTTTTCTGGGGCAGCGGGTTCAATTTTTTGTTTACTTCCTTCCGCAACATCCTTGATGGTGGCCGACATTTGTGAGACAACCGAATTACTTTTATCTATGAAAGATAAAATAACTAACTTTCCTGCCTCATTATTTCTTGTAAACAGCTTTTTTATTTGAATCTTGAAGATCTTGCCAGTCAGTAGCTTTTGTGCGTTCGCAAGAGGCAACAGTCCTTTCTGTAAAAATGAAATTAGTTATTTATGTTTGAGAGGGGGCTCAACTGGTAGAAAATAGTTATTTGTGGTTTTTCGAAATTGACAATGTACCTTGACATTGCAGATATCATAAATCTCTTCCGAAGTGAGAAGTAATATTTTTTCTGCATACTCGTCGACAATAGTTGCTGTTGCAGAACCGCTCTGATCTGTGAGCGTCACTTCAAATTGGTACCTAGTTGTAAGATAAAATAATTGGTTAATTAAAAAGATGGTGAATGTAGAATGTTAAATATAAACAGTTATGTGAAAGTTGCATGTATACCTGGGAACCAATTGGGTAACTTGACGGCAATTAGTGCAATAGAACTTTCTCCGTGAGATAGCTCGGGTGAAGTGTTGTTTACAGTCTGAACAAGCTAGGATACAAAATCGTTGGTTCTCATTTTGTAGTGCAACTTCAGTATGTATGTAGAATATTTGACCCTGGAAAACACAATGATGCCGCATATTAATTTTTTGTTATTAGAGAATAAAGGTAAAAATTTGTAACAATGCATATATGAATATTTAGTGCACTTACTGGATTTTGCTGTCGGATTTCTGCAATCGGTACTATCTCTTCTTCGAAAGGAACAAATAAAAGAGAGCATGTTGGACCTGTGCTCTTCATTGTGTACGCAATAAGCATTTGTTCATTTTGTTGGGCCCTTCAAGTATGTTAACATTTCAAAATTAGTTCTTGTATATGTTCAAGCACATATACGACCAATAATGTATTGATTACAATACCATGTTCTCAGCACATTTGCTTGTGGATATGGAGGATTGATTTCAATTGTTGTACTAAATCTGTTAGTCAATCCTACATGCATTTGAACATTCAGTTCTAATTTGGTCGTCTGGTATATGAAAAACTAAAATATAATTGCTTATATAGTTTACCTGTATTGAATTTGTTACTCCATCTTGCATGCATTTGAGGTGTTTTACCTGACGACGACTTTGGTCTTGCAACTTTTTTAGCAAGAATGATTGGATATTCTTTTTTAAGCAGTTCGAGTAGTTTGTTCCCATCATGATCAATAAATTCTTCCTAGAGTGTGAATTTCGTTGGTTTTTTGCTNTAGAGTGTGAATTTCATTGGTCTTTTGCTGTATAAAATAGAACAAAATTGTTAAATCACTATCTTAAATCAACATGGGAATGTCAATGTTTAAGCAACATAAATGAGCATCAATTACAATATTTAAATATTAGACATGATTAAAAAATGAACACATATTGGTATCTTAATGTGTAGAAATTTCTATAATGCAATTAGTTTCGAAGAAAACAGATATTTCCTGAGGTCTTGACTATTGGTCCCTAACAAAAGCTTCTAAAGCAAAATAGTTTGAACTATCATATGTTGTCGAAGAGCCAATAAGTCTCAAATCTAGAATAGATGGTAGAATTGCTTTATGCTTATTAAAAGAGAAATAGATATAATTCACAACTTATTGTAGCAATGATCCAATTAGTTTCAACATAAAGATGTTTTGAATAAGTTTAGATATTGCGATGTAACCAGAGCCCAAAAACACAAAGAAGGAAACTGCAAAAACCAACACGTATCATCAAAATCGCATCAACAAGAAACTCTGAAGAATTCACATATATAATAAAAAACCTAAAAACCAAAGAGCAAATGAAAAAATTGTAGATATCAAGTAAAAGCTAGTGGCCAGAGTGAAGAAGAAACTTAAGGAAAAGCTGGAATGGCGACATGTGTGTTTTATGTCATTTCTAAAAAGCTCGAGGGTATATTAGTCCTTTCACGCCAATTCTTACAAATTTACTATACATGTGGCTTAGTTTTTCTATACAAAATGCTACGTGTAAGTTTAAATGAGCCCAAGTGAGTTTTACATAGACAACATATTAGGTTTCCTCCATTTTGTTTGCACTTTCAGATTTTCGTTGCTTCTTAGAGACATCTTCATCTTCCTCAAATTGCTTCTACCTGCAGGTTTGTTTTAATTCAATTTTGCTCATGTTTTTTGCTATGCATCTGATAAATGTTTAGTGTCTTTTTCAAAATGCATGAGAGCAATCTAGTCATTTAGCATCAGTTTTGTTGTATCATACATATATGTGGCTTTATTTGCCTACCCATGAGTCTACCTGTAATTGTTATATGACTCGAGGAGTACATCTCTTCTCTTTAACATTTTAGTTCCCTTTTACAAGAATATTTAATAGAGATGTTCGTAATATTGATATGCTACTTTATTCTATTAGATCTTTCAGCATTGGTAATATTTGCACATTTGAAATACAATAGTTTATAAGCATATTTGTGATATACAAACTTTTAGTACTTAGGAATCCACAATTGCATGAATACNTAGGAATGCGTAGTAGATCTAAGTATGCTTTGAAAGATTATAATTGCAGCAAAGCCAAAATTGAATTGAAGCATGAAAAGTAGCCTTTAAAAGGGTACAATCTCAACTTGAATTTCGGTTTCAGTTATTGCGGGGTATTGTTAGACAATATACGAAAAGTGACACATTACATCATACTTGAATAAGCAGTTGCTAGTTGGATCCAATAAAACAGGTTTATGTATACTTACTGATCATCCATGATGATAAAATCTTGAATTCTCCGCCCATTTGAAGCATAGGTTGAGGGGCTTGCGTTGAGCACGATGGCAAGCACATCTTGCATTTAAAAAGAACGATGAATAAGCTAATAGACAATAAAAATTGATATAGACAATAATCGTAATAATAACAATACTAATAAATGTGAATTTTAGGCAAACAAACAACATAAATAGATAAATCTTCAATTACCGAATTCAGATCCTTCGGGTTGATATTCAAAGTTGCCAAATGGTGTAAGATTAAGGCGCGTTGGCGGAGCTAGTGGCTTTTCTGGAGGATTAACAATTTCTATTGGCTCAACAATGGTACACCTATCAATTGTCCATGTAAATTTGTTAAGTGGATTTCCGTACATATAGTTTGATTCTTTGACTTGTGCAACTGACACCAAGTAAGTTTGGAAAGGGCGAAACAGATCTGCAAAATGCATTATCTCCGCATTGAATATAACGCATTCCACTTTATTTTTCTGTAACAAAATAAGGCACAATTAGAATAATATTAACTTAATTACTATTGGCAAACTTATGAATTCTTTAAAGATTACCTCTTCATCTTGCAAAACCATCAGCTGATATTTTTGCGTTTTCTCTCTGTTGTCTCTAGGTCTGCCTTTATCAACTACTTGTATCTTGCAGGTCCATTCTTCCGTTTCTGGAGTAATCGCATTGATGTTGAATCTTTCTGCCATCTAGACATAATCGATAATCATAACGCATCACGATTATAATAATGAGCAAACGTAAGATTGTTAGAATGATTATAATACAAAATCAAAGAATCCAAAAAGTAAATAAGTTGTACATCACACTTACTATTAGGAATGATGGTCTAAGTTATGGCAAAAGCTTTTTCAATAATTTCATCATAAACTACATTATATGTGGAGTGATCATCATCATCGTCAGCTATAATCGGTCTAATTAATATCTTAACACAGTTAGAACCTTTAGCTCTTGATAAGGCAACGTACAATTGACCATGAGAAAATACAGGTTCTCGCAAATAAATGCCAACAAAATCTAATGTTTGGCCTTGAGCTTTATTTATAGTCATGGCGAAACATAACCGTATCGGAAATTGTGTTCTTTTAAATTGAAGGGGTAGTTTTTCATCTTCTGATGTTAATAGTGGTATTCACGGAATGAATACATGTGTATTTTTAAAATCACCACTGGATATTGTAGCACTAATAACATGAGATTTGAAGTCATTACATATTAATCGTGTCCCATTGCACAAACCGTCGCAGGGATTCAAATTCCTTAATAATATAATTGGACAATTTTTTTTTAGACACAATTTATAAGGAGGTAAACCAGGAGGATTTAAAGCGTGCAAAAAGTCGTCATATTCACTTTGATCTTTTGGATCAATTGTTTCATCGGTAGCTAAATAGACTTTTTCATCAGCTGGAAATTGAGCAATTAGCATATCATTTATTTCATCAACAAAATCGTTCTTTGTAGTTAGAATTGCACGAGAAGTAAAAAAAGAAATATTTGAACGAGTTAAATATAAATCAGGATAAGTAACTTTAAATAGATGATTCAAGGAATCTTTTTCAGTGGTGAAAGGTATGATCAGAGGACATGGAATTTCTATTTTGTTCTTATCATTTTTGTTTTCTTTTCCATTACCAATTCTCATCAAATATTCACAAAAAGCTGGGTCTGTTTTCGCACGCATATTTTCGGACAGTTGTAATTTTTCAAGTTGATGCCAAATTTCAGAACATAATAAGCTTTCACGAACAAAATCTTCCCTTTGTCCACCACGGACAACGGGAAGAGTTTGTCTAAAATCGCCGCTGAATACAACAACCTTTCCGCCGAACAACATAGTTGTTTCCATTAAATCTCTAAGGAGCAAATCTAGTGCTTCAACCATTTCCTTTTTTGCCATTGAAATTTCGTCCCATACTATTAGTTTTGCATCTCGAATCAACGATGCCAATGAACTTTGTTTGCTAATATTGCAACTAAAATTTCCATCAACATCAATAGGTATTTTAAATCAGAAATGAGCAGTTCGGCCTCCGGGAAGATGTGAAGCAGCAACACCTGAACTCGCAGTCGCTAATGCTCTAAATCCTCTATGTCGTACTGTAGCTAATAAGGCACGATATAAAAAGCTTTTTCCAGTTCCACACGGACCATCAATGAAGAATGCTCCGAGTTTATTTGAGAATATTCTATCAAGGATTACATTGTAAGCTCTTTTTTGTTCAATGTTTAGTTTATATGGCAATAGTAAATCTTGTTCAGTAACGATAATATTCCTTTCAAAATGTACATCTTTAGCTTCTTTGGCTGTTGCAGATGGTTGAATTTTGCCCTGAGTTAGTTCAAATTCGTTGATATAACGACCCATTGAATGAAGAATATCATTTATATGATTTAATACTTTGTGACGAATTTCTCGTGTATGCATGTTTGGGTATTTATTGAAATCTTCAGACATCGGGATTTCAAATTTTTTCCACAACTCTCTTGGATTAGCGGAATTGCAATATACTAATAGTACAGCAAATAAGTGTCTCAAACTGTGTGGCATTTGGTAACTTACTGCTTCTGACATGCATTCTATTAAATTATTATCGCAAAGTAATAATCCTCTTTTTTCCGCAGCTTCTCTAAACGTGCCACAAGTTATTCCGTTTACAGTTCGCAAATTTTTATACGATTTTGGTCCTCTTACGTTCATTAAGAGCAATCTAAGATAGTATCTTTCTCCTTCGGTTGGATGACATGTCACAACTCTACCAATAGCATATCCTTGTTGGCGACGCGACCACATCTTGTATGTTGTGGACCATACAAAATATTCTGGAAATTCCCGATATAATAAATTCAAAGTTATAGCATTTTCGTTTTCGCTATTCATTCTAAAAAATTCAGTTAACATTGTTTTTTTAATCATAGGATTATTTACAATTCTACTAATATTGTCTGTATTTTTGAAGGAAACAATTTGTTGTCCATCAAGATGCAGTTGAAGATGGTATACATTTGGAATCATTTCACTGATAGGAAAAGCAAATATGCGCCACACAGCCTCAGGTGGTGACACCCACCTAGCAGATTGATATTCCTTTATTTCATCTACTTCTATATTCGTCTCATTAGGATGTATATGAAATGCAATTTTATCATGTCCTTTGCAAATATACTTGTAAATGTACTTAACAACTTTAATATCAGAGCAAATCTCCACATTTATATGACAATTAAATTTACTAAGTAAGAATGGATTGTAAGAAACAACCCATGAATTATCAAAAAGTTGTCCTCTAATTTCCACAGATTTTCCTGTATTTCGTCTTCTATAAATAGGGTATGAACTTTTTCCTTTAGTTGTCTGTTTAGCAAACTCTTTTGGAAATTTAAATTTACAATGACCATTTTTTTTCTTCATACAGGGGCTTGTTGGATTTAATTGACCGCAAGGACCATGTAGCATGTGTTGTGTAACAAGCTTAAATAAATCAGAATTTCTTTTAGGATCCGGTAATTCAGCGCAAACAAATTTATCATATGCCTCAGGGGTCAGTAGTTTGTATTTTTCATCGAGTATAATAAGAAAATGAGCATGTGGAAGTCCCCGTTTTTGAAATTTGACCGTGTACATAAATGCTGCAACTTTACCAAATATTTGTCTTTTTAGTATATCCTTTTTAAACTCTTCTAGTTTTGCTCGAAATATTCGGCTAACTAAATCGGGTCTATTCTGAGCCTCATCTGTCGACAACAAGTTTACTTGAATTTCAGGACACGAAGGGTTACATGTTATAGTTAGAAATATATCGGGTATTCCAAAACGTTGCACTAATGCAATAGCATCCATATACCGGCGGCGCATATCTCTTGGCCCTCCTGTGAAGCTAAGTGGAAGTATTCTGTTTTTACCTACCTGTGAGCCTTCTCTCTCACCGCGTCGCAAAAGATCTAAAAGTCCCGCTAACACATCCATCCTGAATAAATCATGATTGAAAACAGCGAAATCTAATCTTTGAGTTTCAACTTTTATCCATTCGTCTACAACATATTGTTGAAATAATCGTCCTGAATGTAAGATTATATTTTTATCATCTCTAATTTGGAGCTGATAACAATAATATTCACGACAAGAAACTGTTTCTCTTTTTCGTTT